TTACTGAGGGACACAGAATTGTTACTGAGGGACACAGAATTGTTACTCAGGGAGGGACACAGAATTGTTACTCAGGGACAGACACAGAATTGTTACTGAGGGGGACACAGAATTGTTACTCAGAGGACACAGAATTGTTACTGAGAGGACACAGAATTGTTACTGAGGGACACAGAATTGTTACTCAGGGACAGACACAGAATTGTTACTCAGGGGACACAGAATTGTTACTGAGGGACACAGAATTGTTACTGAGGGACACAGAATTGTTACTCAGGGTTACAGGGACACAGAATTGTTACTCAGGGACAGACACAGAATTGTTACTCAGGGGGACACAGAATTGTTACTCAGGGAGGGACACAGAATTGTTACTGAGGGACACAGAATTGTTACTGAGGGACACAGAATTGTTACTCAGGGGACACAGAATTGTTACTGAGGGACACAGAATTGTTACTGAGGGACACAGAATTGTTACTCAGGGACACAGACACAGAATTGTTACTGAGGGACACAGAATTGTTACTGAGGGACACAGAATTGTTACTGAGGGACACAGACACAGAATTGTTACTGAGGGACACAGAAGAACAGAATTGTTACTCAGGGGGACACAGAATTGTTACTACAGACAGACACAGAATTGTTACAGACACAGAATTGTTACTCAGGGACAGACACAGAATTGTTACTGAGGGACACAGAATTGTTACTGAGGGACACAGAATTGTTACTGAGGGACACAGAATTGTTACTCAGGGACACAGAATTGTTACTCAGGGACACAGAATTGTTACTGAGGGACACAGAATTGTTACTGAGGGACACAGAATTGTTACTGAGGGACACAGAATTGTTACTGAGGGACACAGAATTGTTACTGAGGGACACAGAATTGTTACTCAGGGACACAGAATTGTTACTGAGGGACACAGAATTGTTACTGAGGGACACAGAATTGTTACTCAGGGACACAGACACAGACACAATTGTTACTCAGGGACACAGAATTGTTACTCAGGGACACAGAATTGTTACTGAGGGACACAGAATTGTTACTGAGGGACACAGAATTGTTACTCAGGGACACAGAATTGTTACTGAGGGACACAGAATTGTTACTGAGGGACACAGAATTGTTACTCAGGACACACAGAATTGTTACTCAGGTTACAGACACAGAATTGTTACTCAGGGACAGACACAGAATTGTTACTCAGGGACACAGAATCGTTTAATTAAAGAGTATGTCAGACAACACATGCAGAGGAGTGGCAGAGGAGGCAATGTTTTAGGAGCGAGCAGACGTGGCAGCAGAGGAAGGGGTCGAGGCAGCACTAGTCGCAGCCAGAGGCCAGTGCTCCCGGTGTCATCCAGCGGTCGTGTCTCCACCGACAACCCTGCCGTCATCGATTGGTTGGCTCGGTCGTCTTCCTCTTCCCAGGTCACCTCTGACACCTACAGCCAACGGTCGGTGGGTACGTCAGACACAACCGTTAGTTGGCATGGCCCGGGAGCAAGCCCCCACTGAAATCACGTGTCCTCTACCTGCCCCTGTCCTTTGGTGTTCCCTCACCAAGCGAAGTATCGCATGCTGTGGGCTCAGCCCCACTGTACAGTGAGGAAGAGCTAACAGAGGGCGGTCAGGAACGGGGGGAGACATCCGCCTCTTCAGCAGCCAGGCGAAGAAGTAGTGGCGAGGAGAGTGGCTCGGTAGCCGGTCTAGAGACAGGTCTGTCTCCTGACCCACACGCAGCCGAGGGGGCTAGTAGTGAGGCGGAGACCCTAATTGATGATGATGAGGCTGATCGCACTTGGCAGCCTCGTCGTCGTCATCAGGCTATTGCTTCCGCGCATCATCAGGAGAAGAGGGTGGCAGCTTGGCAGCGAGCAAAACAGTCGGTGGGTTGCCCAGGAGGCAGCAGGGTCGCAGCAGTGTCAGTGGAGGCAAACGGCCACGGAGTAGAGCACCAGCTCCACTGCAGCCTACCACCACGGCCAGTAGTGGTGCCGGTGTGCACGGAGGAAGCAGCAGTCAGCCAGTGAGGAGTATCGGGGGCAAAGTTTCCTACTCGGCGGTGTGGCAATTTTTTGTCAAGCCGCCCGAGGAAGTAAACGTAGCCGTATGTCGACTATGTGGCCAGAAAGTCAAGCGTGGCCAGGGGGCCCATGTTGGGACTACAGCGTTTGGCAGCATATGCAGCGTCGCCATTTGGTGGCCTGGGAAAACCGTGATAAAGATACGGCGGTTCTGCCTGCCCCAGCCCCCCGCTCCATCACCCGCTCCGTTACTTGCTCCGTCACCCGACGTCAATCGCCCTCTATCAGCCAGTCAAGGCTCCAACACCTCTGCTGAGGGGAGTTGTCGCTCGTTGGCATCTTCCGCTCGTTCAGATGCTCCTTCTCCTGCTACTCCTCTTCACGGATTCCGTCAGCAGTCTTTCTTGGAATCCGTTTCCAAGAGACAACAGTTTGCGAGCACGCACCCGACGGTGCAAAAGCTGAACGTCCTCCTGTCCAAGTTGCTGGTGCTGCAGTCCCTCCCTTTCCAAGTGGTGGACTCAGCACCTTTCCGAGAAATGATGGCTTGTGCCGCGCCGCGGTGGAGAGTGCCAAGCCGTCATTTCTTCGCCAAAAAGGCAGTGCCAGCCCTGCATTCACATGTAGAAGAGATGGTGGGCCAGTCTTTGAGCATGTCGGTCTCTGCCAAAGTGCACGGCAGCGCCGACGTGTGGAGCTGTAACTACGGTCAGGGACAGTACATGTCATTTACGGCCCACTGGGTGAACGTGGTGCCGTCACAGCCGCACCAGCAACTTGGACAGGTCACGCCGCTTTTGCCTCCACGTTTGCACGTCCTTGGTCCGGCAAAGATGTCCGCCTCTACCACCTCTTCTTCCGCCGTGTCCTCAGCCGCCACCCCCCGTGCCAAGTCCCATTACCCGACCGGCATATCACATGTGCAGGGCGCAACGGTGTCACGCTGTGCTGCACCTGGTATGCCTTGGCGAACGTAGTCACACAGGGGAGGAACTTCTCAGTGTAATGAACAGAGAAATCGACAGATGGCTGTCTCCGCGCAAACTGAAAATCGGAACCATGTTGACCGACAACGGAAAGAACATGGTGTCTGCTCTGCGTCAAGGAAGGTTGTGCCATGCGCCATGCATGGCTCACGTGTTCAATCTGGTTGTCAAGCGGTTCCTAAAATCCACCATCCCACTGCAAGACATCCTTAAAATGTCACGTAAACTTTGCATGCATTTCAGCCATTCCTACACCGCAAAGCACACCCTCCTTGAGCTGCAGCGGCAGAACGGAATTCCACAGCATCGCCTGATCTGCGACGTTTGCAACAAGGTGGAATTCAACCCTACACATGTTAGAGACCGCCTTTACGAACAGCGAAAGGCCATCACCGATTTCCTGATGTTACAAGCGGATAAAGGTACTCCCCTGTGTAACTTCGATGTCAGCCATTGGCAGCTCATGCGTGACACCTGCCGCTTGCTCAGGCCCTTTGAGGAGGCCACGCTATTCGTGAGTCGGCAGGACTATGGGATGAACGACGTCATTCCTCTGTTGCACGTCCTGGAACAAATGCTGTTAACAATGGCTGGTCAGGGTGCGGTAGACGTGGCGCACAGATCTCAACGCCACATGACCCCTGTGGGGGCAGGACAGGAAGAAGAGGAGGAGGTAGAGGAGGACATTTGTGCTCAGGAATTATTGAGTGAAATGGGTGTTTTTTTTTTCCACTCAGCGGACAGGAGTGGAGGAGCAGGAGCATCTGGTAGAGGAGGAGGAGGAGGAGACAGAGGACCCAGACGCACCGTGGCAGTATGCTGTGGAGATGGAGGCAGGGAGTCCCTCGCATTCCTTGGCACAAATGGCCCATAGCATGCTCGGTTGCTTGCGTAGCGACAGCCGAATAATAACCATCAGACAGAGGGATGACTTTTGGCTGTCCACCTTGTTGGACCCTCGCTACCGTTCAAAAATGGTGGCCTTTTTTTCACACCTGCTGAGAGGGAGGCCAAAATAACGTACTATAAAAACCACACCTATGTAGTCAGTTGGTCTCTGCCTTTCTGCGCCAACGTCCATCCTCAGACACTGTGGGCCCTGTGCGCTCGCGTTCCGCTGCCATGGCAGCAGGGGAGGGGTGGGGTGGTAGGAGCAGTGGCAGCTCCACCAGCAGCGGCTGCCTCAGTCTGCAGTCGATGATGAGTAGCTTTCTTCACCAGCGCAGTGAGGAAACTACTAACCAGCCGCAGCAGCAGCAGCAGCAGCAGCATCAGGTGGACCTGGAGCAGGACCTCAAACAACAGGCTTGGGCCTACTTGGACAGCACCCTGCCAACCGAGGTAGACAATCCCCTTGACTACTGGGCAAACGAAACTTGACCTTTTGGCCCCAACTAGCTGAATTTGCCCTTGAAAGGCTGTCATGCCCGGCCAGTAGCGTGGCATCGGAGCGCGTGTTTAGTGCGGCAGGAGGTATTGTAACTCCGCGGAGGACACGACTGTCCACCCAAAGTGTGGGAGAGACTCACGTTTGTGTGAAAATGAATCAGGCGTGGATTAGTCTGGATTTCAAACCACCAGTTCCTGACACAACTGACTAAATCCGCCATGAATCATGCCCCAAACATGTGCCACTTTCAGGTCTCCTCACACTGCTGGTGTGTTCCATTTTTTGTCATAGGGTGCTGGCAGATTACGGGCCTCCCATAGCTGCTGCCAGGCCCCTAATCTGCCATGGGCCCCTATACCGCCTCCTCATGCTGCTGCCAGGTCCAGAGTCTCTCATGGGTCCCTGTGTACGGCCTCCCATTGCTGCTGTCTCCATCGCCACACTCTGCCATGTGCCACTTTCAGGTCTCCTCACACTGCTGGTGTGTTCCATTTTTTGTCATAGGGTGCTGGCAGATTACGGGCCTCCCATAGCTGCTGCCAGGCCCCTAATCTGCCATGGGCCCCTGTACCGCCGCCTCCTCATGCTGCTGCCAGGTCCAGAGTCTCTCATGGGTCCCTGTACGGCTCCCATTGCTGCTGTCTCCATCGCCACACTCTGCCATGTGCCACTTTCAGGTCTCCTCACACTGCTGGTGTGTTCCATTTTTTGTCATAGGGTGCTGGCAGATTACGGGCCTCCCATAGCTGCTGCCAGGCCCCTAATCTGCCATGGGCCCCTGTACCCGCCTCCTCATGCTGCTGCCAGGTCCACAGTCTCTCATGGGTCCCATGTACGGCCTCCCCTTGCTGGTCTCCATCGCCACACTCTGCCATGTGCCACTTTCAGGTCTCTCACACTGCTGGTGTGTTCCATTTTTTGTCATAGGGTGCTGGCAGATTACGGGCCTCCCATAGCTGCTGCCAGGCCCCTAATCTGCCATGGGCCCCTGTACCGCCTCCTCATGCTGCTGCCAGGTCCAGAGTCTCTCATGGGTCCCACGGCCTCCCATTGCTGCTGTCTCATGCCCACTCTGCCATGTGCCACTTTCAGGTCTCCTCACACACTGCTGGTGTGTTCCATTTTTTGTCATAGGGTGCTGGCAGATTACGGGCCTCCCATAGCTGCTGCCAGGCCCCTAATCTGCCATGGGCCCCTATCCCCCGCCTCCTGCTGCTGCTGCCAGGTCCAGAGTCTCTCATGGGTCCCTGTACGGCCTCCCATTGCTGCTGTCTCCATCGCCACACACTCTGCCATGTGCCACTTTCAGGTCTCCTCACACACTGCTGGTGTGTTCCATTTTTTGTCATAGGGTGCTGGCAGATTACGGGCCTCCCATAGCTGCTGCCAGGCCCCTAATCTGCCATGGGCCCCTGTACCGCCTCCTCATGCTGCTGCCAGGTCCAGAGTCTCTCATGGGTCCCTGTACGGCCTCCCATTGCTGCTGTCTCCATCGCCCACACTCTGCCATGTGCCACTTTCAGGTCTCCTCACACACTGCTGGTGTGTTCCATTTTTTGTCATAGGGTGCTGGCAGATTACGGGCCTCCCATAGCTGCTGCCAGGCCCCTAATCTGCCATGGGCCCCTATACCGCCTCCTCATGCTGCTGCCAGGTCCAGAGTCTCTCATGGGTCCCTGTACGGCCTCCCATTGCTGCTGTCTCCATCGCCACACTCTGCCATGTGCCACTTTCAGGTCTCCTCACACACTGCTGGTGTGTTCCATTTTTTGTCATAGGGTGCTGGCAGATTACGGGCCTCCCATAGCTGCTGCCAGGCCCCTAATCTGCCATGGGCCCCTATACCGCCTCCTCATGCTGCTGCCAGGTCCAGAGTCTCTCATGGGTCCCTGTACGGCCTCCCATTGCTGCTGTCTCCATCGCCACACTCTGCCATGTGCCACTTTCAGGTCTCCTCCTCACACTGCTGGTGTGTTCCATTTTTTGTCATAGGGTGCTGGCAGATTACGGGCCTCCCATAGCTGCTGCCAGGCCCCTAATCTGCCATGGGCCCCTGTACCGCCTCCTCACCTCCTCTGCTGCTGCCAGGTCCAGAGTCTCTCATGGGTCCCTGTACGGCCTCCCATTGCTGCTGTCTCCAGTGCCACACTCTGCCATGTGCCACTTTCAGGTCTCCTCACACTGCTGGTGTGTTCCATTTTTGTCATAGGGTGCTGGCAGATTACGGGCCTCCCATAGCTGCTGCTGCCAGGCCCCTAATCTGCCATGGGCCCCCTATACCGCCTCCTCATGCTGCTGCCAGGTCCAGAGTCTCTCATGGGTCCCTGTACGGCCTCCCATTGCTGCTGTCTCCATCGCCACACTCTGCCATGTGCCACTTTCAGGTCTCCTCACTCACACTGCTGGTGTGTTCCATTTTTTGTCATAGGGTGCTGGCAGATTACGGGCCTTTAGGTCTCCTCATAGGCTGCTGTGCAATTTTTTGGCATATTACGGCAGCCCGGGCCTCCCATAGCTGCTGCCATGGGCCCCTAATCTGCCATGGGCCCCTATACCGCCTCCTCATGCTGCTGCCAGGTCCAGAGTCTCTCATGGGTCCCTGTACGGCCTCCCATTGCTGCTGTCTCCATCGCCACACTCTGCCATGTGCCACTTTCAGGTCTCCTCACACTGCTGGTGTGTTCCATTTTTTGTCATAGGGTGCTGGCAGATTACGGGCCTCCCATAGCTGCTGCCAGGCCCCTAATCTGCCATGGGCCCCTGTACCCCCGCCTCCTCATGCTGCTGCCAGGTCCAGAGTCTCTCATGGGTCCCTGTACGGCCTCCCATTGCTGCTGTCTCCATCGCCACACTCTCTGCCATGTGCCACTTTCAGGTCTCCTCACACACTGCTGGTGTGTTCCATTTTTTGTCATAGGGTGCTGGCAGATTACGGGCCTCCCATTGCTGCTGCCAGGCCCGTAATCTGCCATGGGCCCCCGTACCGACTCCTCATGCTGCTGCCAGGCCCGTAATCTGTCATGGGCCCCTGTTGTCGCTTGTTGGCATATTCCGCTCGTTCAGATGCTCCTTCTCCTGCTACTCCTCTTCACGGATTCCGTCAGCAGTCTTTCTTGGAATCCGTTTCCAAGAGACAACAGTTTGCGAGCACGCACCCGACGGTGCAGAAGCTGAACGTCCTCCTGTCCAAGTTGCTGCTGCCAGGCTCGTAATCTGTCATGCGCCCCTGTACCGCCTCCTCATGCTGCTGCCAGGTCCAGAGTGTGTCATGGGCCCCCGTACCGACTCCTCATGCTGCTGCCAGGCCCGTAATCTGTCATCGGCCCCTGTACCGCCTCCTCATGCTGCTGCCAGGTCCAGAGTGTGTCATGGGTCCCTGTACGGCCTCCCATTGCTGCTGCCAGGCCCGTAATCTGCCATGGGCCCCCGTACCAACTCCTCATGCTGCTGCCAGGCCCTTAATCTGTCATGGGCCCCTGTACCGCCTCCTCATGCTGCTGCCAGGTCCAGAGTGTGTCATGGGTCCCTGTACGGCCTCCCATTGCTGCTGTCTCCATCGCCACACTCTGCCATGTGCCACTTTCAGGTCTCCTCACACTGCTGGTGGTTTCCATTTTTGTCATAGGGTGCTGTATGGCCTCCCATTGCTGCTGCCTCCACCGCCACACTGTGGCTCCACACTCTGGTTTTGGCCCCGTGACTGCCCAAATGAGTGAAGTGTGCGGTGATTCTAAGATCGACGGCACTCATCTGCATGTCATACTGACTGTCAGTATTATTTCTCTTCCCCAGCAGACTCCAAGGGCATTTAAATTAAAGGTACAGTGTTCTGCACTAATATAAAGGCTCTCTGAAGCCTAGAAACACCCTTTTATAAGTTAAATTCGTAGCGAATATATTCGACTCAAATCAAAATTTTTTTACGAATTCGCCGAATCGGTCGAATCGAATTTTTGAATAATTCGCTCATCTCTAAATAGAATACAAAAGTATACAAATGAACTAAAGTAATTGAACAGTTTATGGGCCAAGACTCTAGACATGCTCTGGTTTACTAAATGAAATAACGAGATAGCAAAAGAGGTAAGTTTACATATACGTTTTCTTTTTAGATTTGTACCACTCATTCCAAACCTGCCAGTTCTTACTATAGGTGGATTTCCCAGCATTAATAGCTAACATATTTTCATATGTATAGTGAGTGTGAAGTATCTATATGGTCTCATTTATATTAGAGGAAGATGGTGATCTTCATATGCATAGGATTGCCAGTTTTGCTGCCAAGAATAAGTGAGTCGTACATTGTCTAAAGGAAAGAGGAATATCCTCTATCCCCAGGTTCAAAATAGCTATTGCAGGGGAGGGTGAAGTAGATAGTCCAGTGACCTGGGTGAGAATATCAGTGACAGCCAAAAGTAACCTAATTTACTGCATGACCAAAGGATGTGATATAAAGTACCAGTCTACTTGCATTGTCTCCAGCACAATGGAGATTGAGAGGAAATAAATTTAGACAATCTATGTGGAGTAAGGTACCACCTTAACATGATTTTATGGGTAATTTCCCATAGGGTAGCATATTTCGTAGCAGTAAATGTATACCTTAAGGCTTTTTGCCATTGTACGTCAGAGTAAGAGGTAGCGAGGTCTCTTTCCCAGGCTAAAAAAGTTATCGCCGCGATCCTCCTTTGCTAATAGTCTTGGATGTGTAGTAACATCCAACTATCCATGGAAGCTCATATTTGATGGGGATATGTTTTATGGGCGAAAGATACTCTAAGATAGGAATAGCATTCTGAGTCCTGTAAGTGGAATTCTCTTTGCAGAGAGGCAAAAGATTTCAGAGAGGAATCTGCAACTAAGTCCGATACCTGCTGTATACCATGCGTTTTCAATTGTCCTGAGTCTAGATTCTTTAATAATATGGCATATATAGAGATTGGAATGAACAATTGGACAGTTGGATTCTGGACTAATTTACCTAAGGAGGTGTTTAGTGATTTCCATGCAGTCAGCGTTGCTAGTATTGGTGGTGAGAATTTCCGTGGATTAACACTAAGGTAAGGGTAAGCAGTAGATACGTATATAGGTTCCCACCTGGGATTTGTGGTTGTTCAAGCTCCCCCCATATAGAGTGAGTGAATTTGGAAACCAGTACCACAGTTGTGCTAGAATTGCAGCTAGATGATAATCAGAAATAACTGGCAGTCCCATTCCCCCTGCGGATCTCGCTCTAATCAATTTAGTAAATGTGCAACGTGCTTTTCTCTCCTCCCAAAGGAATCTGTGTAGTATAGACTGTAGGGTATGAAAGAATTCCATATTTTCCAGAAGAGTAACAGAGCAAAATACAGACAGAATTTGAGGTAGTAACTGCATCTTAAATGCCGCTAATCTACCCGACCACGATAAAACATGTTTGCTTAAGGATAATAGACCCTCTTTTAACCTGTTTTCCAGTGGCAAGTAGTTAGCTTTAAATATTTGGCCAGGGCAGGTTTTAGGTGTGATACCTAAACAAGTAATACCTGAATCTTTTGATAGGTAGGGAAATTTATATTGTAATTTATATCTATGTTGTGGTAGTACCCCTAAATCAAGAATGTGGGATTTAGCATCGTTAACTTTGTAATATGATACCATACCATACTGGTGAAGTAACTGTGCCACATAATCTAAAGAGGACAAAGGATTAGTTAGCATTAAAATAACATTGTTTGCGAACAAGCTTATAACATGTTTGTTACTTTTGAATGGAAACCAGAGATATCAGGGTTTTGTCTAATGCTAGAGGCCAAGGGCTCCATCATAAGATTGAAAATCAGTGGAGATAAAGGGCATCCCTGACGGGTGCCATTAGTTATTTGGAAGGGTTTCGATAACACACCTGAAGTATAAACTCGTGCAGATGGAAGAGTATACATGGCCAAAATAGCCAATAGCATATATCCCTGAAATCCGAATTTAAGACACTCTTTGTTGAAACATCCAATTCACTCTATCATATGCCTTCTCCATGTCTAAAGCCGGCAGCGGGGAAGGCGTCCGGTATCTCCTTGCCAGATGAATGATGTTGATCACCCGCCTAGTGGCATCGGAGGTCTGTCTCCCTTTGGTAAAGCCAGACTGCTCCGGGTGAATTAAAGCGCCAGCATTTTTGCGTAAATTTTTATATCTTTATTCAAGAGAGATATAGGCCTAGTTAACCTCTTGCCGACTGCAGATAGCCGAATGACATCTTCACTACGGCTGGCCAGTTCTGGGTGGACGTCATATGCCCTGATGGTCAGTGCCCAGCAGTGCCACCCACCAGTGCCGCCCACAACTGCCCAGCAGTGCCGCCCAT